CAGCGTCCTCTCTCTGCTGACCTCTCGTTAGTGCCACGCTTCCCAAGAAACCTGCCCACTGAGCCTGTTTACCAGGGAAATTGATAGTTAGGGGTGAACGCCCCGAATAACGATCACAGTGATTTCAGACACATCCTCGTCATAAATTAATAAATGGATTTTCTGGTCTGTCTATATTCTCTGTGAGTGCAGTGTACACAAATCTCCAGTAGTCTGATCAATTCTAGAGACTCTGACAGAATCAGTTCTCCCCACCAGCAAAGCTAGGGACAGGGTTTTGGGACAGTGGACGATGCTAGGGCCGCACCCTAAGCCTTTATGGAAGCCCTCCCCACTCCCTCCCTCCGGCCTGGACCCCACTGCCGCTGACTAGCTTATCCTGGATTTCTCTATTGACCATGTGTCAATTTGTGACTTTATCACATTTATGCATTTTATGATCGACAGCCTCAAATTCCTTCTAGAAAGAAATAGGCCACTGGGGCAGCCTGCTGCTTATCTCTCAATATCCATTCTCCACTTTCTCCTTCACCAATAGAATCTGCACATTTTGACCGAGCACACGGCCGGCCAGGTAATCATAATGTTTCCCAGCTTCCCTCGCCCACGTGACTAAGTTCCGGCCAATGGGACGTGAATGGTAATGGTAACCTCTGGATTGTTCCCTTAAAAGAAAGCTGCTCGCCCTCCATGCCCACCCCTCCCCCACGCCCCTGGTTTTCCCTTCCCAGTTGGTTGGGTTGAAGATACGGTGGTAGTGAGCCAGCTTCTACCCTGCAGACAGGAGAAACACCCCAGGGAGGGGGGAGCAACAAGGGAGAAAAATCCATCCCATTCTTCTCAACTTCTGGGTTGGGGGGCGAGGAAACCTGGTGTTTAAGTCACCATTAATGTTAAACTGGCTGAAACCATGTCTCAAGTAATAAAGACTCGAAATGAGTGAACGAAAAGGACGGATTTCACAAGCAGGTCCTTGAGCCCCATAAAAAATGTCCCCGCGGCCCCCAACAATGATCTATTTGCATTATTCTCTCCAGTTAATTAATGAAAGACAGGTATACGTTACCTAACGTCCTGGCACAGTGAGTCATCATGTACGAATTTATTCCCATAGTCATTAATGACAGTACTTGTACGTAGAATATAAACTATAAAACAAAACACACAAACAGAATCGAAATGTTAATAAGTTCTCCGAAGGGAATCGTTGCTCAACCACCAACAAAATTCTATCTTAATCCACATTTTTTAATCCTGCGTCTGACAAGTAAATTGAGGCAAAAGGATAGTTTTGTGAACACTGCTCAAACATGATATACTGGGGCAGAAATTCCTTTTCAATCTGAATGAGAAACAAAGAGATTGTGCAGATTCTGGGAGAGATAGAAAACAGAGAGCTCTCCACAGCTCTCGCTTTCGGCAGCGGCCATGAAAACCAGCAAGCTGGGGGCCACCGCGGACAGGGCAGGGCAGAGACCCCAGCAACAGCAGGCGGTGAGGACCACGGGTGGCACAGGGAAGTACACCTGCCACACGCATGCAGTGTGACTGGACAAGAGGCTCTGCAGAAGCGGGCAGGAGCGGAGGTAGGGTCAGCAGGGGCACCGTGCAGAAGCAGACACATGACCGCATGTGCAGGTCTTGGCT